CTTGCCGGAAGTCCAAAATTACTCTTGAAAAATGCCTTCGGTGGCCCACTTGTGTATCCAACAAATGTTTATTGAAGACCTACTATGTGCAGGGCCCCAAGCTAGTGCTAGAGATGAAGTGTGCCAGATAAGCAGTTTATTCCTGCCCCCATGGGGCTGGGAGTCTAGTGAGGGCTCAGCTCAGTGGTTCGTGGACGTCAGGTAGCCCACTGAGGGCCGGGCAGAACAACAGGACAGCTAAGGGAAGGGAGTGATGGGTAGAAGTGGGGGGGGAGGGACTTGAGAGAAGGGCGTCAGACACCACTTTTCTGAAGAAATGAGATTTGAGCAGATTGAAAGAAGTGAGGAAACAAGTCGTGCCCTGACTGGTGTGGCTCCTCGGGCTGGATGTCATTCCATAAAGTGAAAGGTCGCTGCTTCGAAACCCATTCGGGGCACATGCCTGGGTGGTGGGTCCAGTCCCTGTTCGGGGCGTGCGCGGGAGGCAGCCGATGGATGTTTCTCTTTCACATTGATGTTTCTCTCCCTCTCTTTCTCCCTCTCTCTACAAATAAATAAAATCTTTTCAAAAAGAAAGAAACAAACAAGTGGCATCCATCAGGAGAAAACGTGAGTGGCGGAGGCAGAGGGATCGGCCAAGGACCTGGGTGGAAACGAGTTTGGAGTTCGCAGAGCCCACAAAGCACCGTGTATGTGGCCTTGTGGGTCAGCCCTGGACAGGAGTATCTGCTCTCCGCCCAGACCGCCAGGGTCCCTTTGTCGTGTCCCCACCTCCACCCTACCGTGTGCTTTTCCCTCCAACAGCCAGCTCCCGCGACTCTCCTTCCCAAGACCACCGGGGCACTGACACCACTCTGCACACTGAGGCAGAAAGCGGGCATGCGGCCCCCCTCCCCCCGCAGCCTTTGCCCAGGGCCTGCGGGTGGGGACAAAGATGGAGCATCACTTACACTCCAGAGCTCTCAGCAGGGCCAGGCTGGGCCCCGGGAAAGGACTGCACCTGAGATGATGCTCCACCCTCCGCTTGGCTCCTCCCCTTTCCAGTCCTGCTTCACTCACTCCCAGAGCCGGTCCTTGCTAAGTCCTGTGACAACAAACACAGAACAGCTGACGTCAGGGTGTGTCGCAGTGAATACATCTGCAGAATGTCATTTTACGCTGTTTAAATGATGGCAACGAATGCAGGGACTTGACCGTTGGATTAAACGCACACTTGATGCTACTCCCGCTGTGTCACAACCCACCCCCCAGGCCTCCAGGACCCCAGACTGGGGGCAGAGCGAAGGTCTGTGGCCTGTGGTTCTGAGCTCAAGGCACTGCCTTTTGGCATCGGGATGGGGATGGTCCACTTCGAGCCTCAAGAGACAGCCTGAGTGTGCCAACCACACTGGGCTGACATCTAAGCCTGTGACAAAGCCACTTCCCCTACATCCCTTAGCCCTTCCCTACCCCAAGTGCAAGCAAATCCTTTTTATCTAAGGTCCCCCCACCCCCCACCCCATAGCACAGGTTTCCGTGCATTTATTCCCTCCTTCGTCCAACAGACATTGATGAAGCAGGGGCCCAGCATCCCACAGGTGCCTGGATGAAGGGAGCATCCGACCCCGAGGACCCCGTCAGCCCCGAGCACGACCTCTGTCCCAGCTGGAGACCCACTTAGGGTACATTACTCCAATAACGGCCCTGAGGCCCCGCTTCAGTGCGACCTTGTCATTCCTCCTCCCCAGAGGTGGAGTCCGAGTCCCCACCCCCGAGCGTGGAATGGCCTTCCGTGTGAGTTTCCTATCGCTCTGCATCCAAGTGCCACACAATTCGCGGCTTAAAACAACACCCATGGACTATTTCAGTTTCTGTAGGTCAAAAGCCCAGAATAGCTTTCCGGGCCTCCAGTTTGCAGAAGGCTGACTTTTCGGCCTCCATAACCACGCGAGCCTATTCCTATAATAAATCTCCCCTAGCGTACCGCTATGTACAGGCTACTGACTCGTGCCTCGGGGAGCCCTGACCAGCACCTCCAGACCCCCAAGGCACCCTCTACATCCCCGTTGTGGTGCTCTGAGTAATGCCGCCACCCGAAGACACCCACCTCCTGACCCCCGGAACCTAGGAATACGGTGCCTCACATACCTCGTGTACATGTTAGCCTGCGACAGAAGGGACTTCACAGAGAGGGCTGAGGAGAGGGCGTGCAGACGGGGAGACTGCCCCCGGTTATTTGCGTGGCCCCGCTGTAATCACAAGGGCACTTCACGGGAAGGAGGCAGGGTGTCAGTACGTGGTTCAGTCGCCAGTTCAAATGGAAGCGGCAGCTGAGAGATCAAGAAGAGGCAGAGGCCTGAAAGGACAGCAACGGGAGAATCGGGAAAGATCATCAAAGGCAAAGACGCGTCATTAGGGACAGAGGCGAAGACCGTCCACGCCCCCGTATTCCCAATTACCGTGTATGGAGGTGAAAGGTGAACCTCGAAGGAGGCTGATAGAAAGTGGATTCATTTGAAATAAGGTCTTGAAGGAGGGCTGCACAGAAAGATGAACAGATGGGTCGTAGAGCAAAGGAAGCCTGAGACATCGCCGGAGGCAAAAATGACAGAACCGGGGCTGCCCTGCCTACCTCGGGCGCTTCGTGAGGAGGCAGGGGTCTCGGGGAAAGGCAGTTAGGTGGGAGTGGTATAGAGCAGCGGGGAAAGAGGAGGACCGGATACGAGATGAACTGACTCCACACAAGAAGCCTAGGCGTGAGTCCACAGGAGCTGGGGACGGCTGCTGAGGACAGGACGTGGTGGACACCAGTCCTTCACAGGGTCGCCACCAGGAGTCGGAGCCGACCAGACAGCCCGTGACACACACACAATAGGGGTCAGGCAGGGGAAGGCAAAAGTGAAGACTGGAGCGATGCAGCCACGAGACAGGGAATGTCGGCAGCTTCTAGAAGCTGGATAAGGCAAGGGAAGGGTTCTCCGCCAGAGCCTCAGGAGGGAGCCCGCCCTGAGGATATCTTGACTGTAGCCTGGGGACACTAACTTTGACCTTCTGACCTCCAGAACCCTAAGATAACAAGCCTGTGCTCTTTTAAGCCACTGGATTTGTGGAGATGTGTGACAGTACAGTAGTCATAGGAAGTTAACACACCTTCATTCCAGCACTAGTCGCCCTTGGTGGCGGGTGTCTTTCTCTTCTAACCAAGAGTAGCTCAAGCCTAGGCAACTGTGTTTCTGCTCATTTAACACAAAACCTTAAAAAGAGCTCACAAAAGCTGCTGAATGAACTAACAGCTGGATTCATGCTTATCAGCCTCACTCAGTGCCTCATTCAGGCCCCTCTCCCTCAGCCTGAAAACATCCACCTGCTCAACAGCTACACAGCTCACCTGCCCATTCATTCCCACCACCCCGGGAGGGCAGCTCCGTTCTTACACCCAAGGCCTCTTCGGGCTGACCAGCAAACAGCTATTTCTCAAGAGCCTGTTGCTTTTCGGGGCAGGGGAGGAGGGCAATTTCTTCCAAGGTGATAAGTGGACAAATCTGCAGAGAGGCAGGAACGAGAAGTGGACATGTCAATATGGTGGACTTGAACCCGCAGGAACTGGTGTTGCATCACAGACATGTAAAAGTCGCCCTGTCTGATAAGGAACGAGAGAGAGCAACAGACAGACCTGGCCCTCGCCACCTCCTTCTCAGCCCCACCACAGCCACCCAAATGAGGGTGAAACCTGTATTTAATGACACCAGAAAGAGCTCTATTTTTGTACCATTGAGGGAGAAAAGCTGATTCCAGATCGTGTAAATCACATGGTCCTATTGTGTTAAGAAGAAAGAAATCAAATATATTTGCTATTATATATACAATGTGTGTGTCAATATAGAACAGAGGCTAGACAAAGCTTCGTGAAGATGTTAATGATGATTTTATGGAGCTTACGGACAGTTGCTTTTCTTCTTACGTTTTTCTAATTTACAAAGAACAAGACTGTTGCTGTGATAAAAATAAAGTTTAAATAATTCAAAGTAAAAGAAATGGAGCGTTTTGCGTGGCAGGACTGCTTTGTGTCCATTCCCAGACAGCCCAGGTCTCTCAGCCCCTCCCCAAATAGGAAGCTGGGGTCTGGTCTCCCCGGGAGTAATGGCGGAATCATTAGAGAAACTGCAGGCGGCAGGAGAGTGACGTGGCCAGGGGGCCTGGGAATCAGAAAGCACGTAGACATGACCGTGAGGGTAGTTTCTACCGCATAACCCAAGGATGACCCGCTTCGGGCTCAATGTGGAGTGTGGGGAGCCCGTTCTTACCCCCGCGCCCTCTCTTTCCTTCCCCTATCACCACACCGATCTCCCTGCGGTCTTCACCGAGCCTCCCAGGGTGAAGGCAGGTGCCGCCGGAGATCTTGGCCCAGAAACAGATGCACCGGCCTTCCCGGGCCCTATTCACTGCACCCCCCACCTTTCCTGCGGTGGCGTTTTTGTTTTAATTCATCTAAACTGGTTACAAAACCACACTCCCACGAATACATAAATAATGGATGGGGGGGTGGCAGCGTTTTAAAGAAATTCCCGCAGGGCTTGGCAAGCAAGCATTTCTGCTGTATCATATTTAACTGTTTGCAAACTTCTGCTGGAAAGATGCGCAGAGGCTGCAAAGACTCCATTGCCTTCCCCGCCTGAGACCTGGTGAGACTTGCTGGGGCGGAGGGGTGGGTAGGGTTAAAAGGAGAGAGAAGTTGTCAGCTATCCGGGGCCGGGAAGATGGAGAGGGGAGTGGAAAATGTAAGACTGCAAAGCCCGGCTTCCTACGAGCTCAGAATCCACCCCCTCCCCACCCTACGGTCTGGGCCAAGGCTCCGGCCACCAGCGAGGCCCCTTTAAGAACCAGCGCGCGCCCCCGCCCCGCGTGCGCTCACTTTCCCTAGCAACGGCCCCGGGGGAGGGGGAGGTCCTAGCAACGGCGCGCTCGCCCGCAGGGTCACGTGACGGTCCACAGCTGGAGCGAGAACGCGCGCTCTGCCGCGCGTCCGCCCGTCGGGGCTTGAGCGCTGCGGCGCGTGCGCGAGCGGTGCAGCACCGGCCGCGGGAGCAGGCAGGGAGTATTATGGGCTGTGGGTGCCGCTGAGCAAGATGGAGCTGTCTGCAGTGGGCGAGCGGGTCTTCGCGGCTGAATCCATCATCAAACGGCGAATCCGAAAGGTGAGCGGCCTCCCGGGCCGGGACGCCTTGTCCGGCAGCTATTGGCCGGGTCCGCGGACCATCCCAGTGAAGCGGTCCCGCTAACCCCGGGTATCTTGCCACCCCCGCGCCGCCGCCTCCTCGCGTCCCCGCATCTTCCCCACCCCCACTCTCCCGTTTTTCTCTTCTCTGTTTTTCAGGGACGCATCGAGTACCTGGTGAAATGGAAGGGGTGGGCCATCAAGTGAGTGTCTCAGAGCCCAGGAACGAGGGGGGAGGGGACTCAGCGGACACCGGGCCTTTTTTTCTTGGAGGGGGGAGCGGGGGGGGGTTCACGTTTGCTCCCTTGCATGTGCCTCTGCCTCTCTGGTTTTCATTTTTATTTTCTGCATGTGTATCTCGGCAGGTACAGCACTTGGGAGCCCGAGGAGAACATCCTGGACTCGAGGCTCATTGCAGCCTTCGAGCAGAAGTGAGTTTGGGAAGCTGGCAGGGGTGGTGGGGCCGAGGCTCGGCTGGGGCGCCGCGCGGGGAAACGGGGAAGCCGGGGAGGGCAGCACGGAGTGGGGCCCGGGAAGGGGCTCTTTGTAACCTTTTGCATTTCTCCTCTGCAGGGAGAGGGAGCGGGAGCTGTATGGGCCCAAGAAGAGGGGACCCAAACCCAAAACTTTCCTCCTGAAGGTAACCTGGCCCAGCCCCAGCAGCCCCCTCTCGGGCCCCTAGCCCCGGCACAGCTCGGGGCCTTCTAGGGAGGGACAGATCGGCGGCTGCCCAGGCGGGCGGGCCTTTCCAGACGGGCCCCAGCTGGGCAGGGGCTGGTGGTGAGCCCACTAGGAGCCCTTGGCAGCCACCCCGGCTGCCTCCAGCTTCAGCAAGAGGGTTCCGGGAGTCGGGGACCAGGACGGGGATAATCCTCACTGGCAAACCAGGGTTTGGGGAGACCATTAGGGCTCCAGAAAGGGGATGGATGAAGCAGGTGGGGGCTGCACCTAGGCGGTGGCAGGGAGGTTGCTTCTGTACCTGAGAGCCCTAGTCTCTCCCAGCCTTGAGCTGTCTACCCGTGGGCTCTGCCTGGATTAAGGGAGAGTGAATGTGGTCTCCCTTGTGGCAGGGAACAGGGAGAGGCATTTGGGGGCCACCTGCCTCCCTGTCCGCAGCTTCCTTCTCTCTCTCTTAGGATTTGTTCTGCATGCCTTCCCTTCTTACTGGAGAGGGATTCCACTTGAATTGAACCTAAATCATTTCTCTTGGAGCTTTTCACTTAGTCTGGGCCACTGGCTTCAGGACCCTGAGCCTGTTTCCCCCTACCTCTGGCTGTCTCCAGAGCCTGTAATGAGGATGGAGAGAGGGGGAGCAAAACCATAGCACATTAGCCTTGGCAAGGGAGGGAGACCCAGCTCCTGAGGAAGCCATCTTAGTTTTGGGCAGGTTTGTTTTATTTTGTTTTTTCGCTGAGAAACGGAACGGAGTCTGGAGAAGGGAGGGCAAGATCGCCGAGACGGCAGGCAGGCTGCAGGAGAACCTCCCTGGGCGACTGCAATCTCCCCATTAGCATTAAGATTGTCTTAGGGCCCTTCCCACCCTGACAGCTTGTGACTTTGTGGCAGTTGGTACAGGAAGGGCAGTGAGGACTCTGCAGGGAAGAGACTGTGCAGAAGGCAGAAGCTCAGAATCACCAATTTCTCCAAAAGGCTCAAAGCCCAAAGAGAGTGAGGTGGGCCTCTCCAGTCCCACCTCCCCACCCAGAAGGACCGTGTATGTGTGTAAGGGTTTGCTTTGGACTTTAAGCAGAAGTGAAAGAAATTTGGGGTTCCAGAATTACATATTTCTGTGACCCCTGACCCCCATCTGCACACATTTTAGGGGATCCATGAAGTAGCCTTAACCCTTGATGATGCTTTGGCGGGATTAGGCGGATCGGCTGGAGGGCTGGTGGGCTGTGACAGTCTCTCCGCGCTGCTGGAGCGCCCTCTAGCGGTGAAGCGAGTAATGACTGTGAGCATTGATTTCACGAAGTGCCTTTTTTTTTTTTTTAATGCTTCTAGTTCCTGTGTCTATGAGGCCTAAACACAGAGCTGAGCCCCCACATGGATTATCTCTTGTAATCCCCTCAACAACCCTATGAAGGGGGGGGTACTATCCCCATTTCACAGAGGAGAAAATCAAGTCCCAGAGAGAGGAATTGATGTACCTCGAGTCCCACCACCCAACTTCATGGCTTCATCCCGTCCTTTTCACCCTGTCCCTCAGACCATACCCATCGGGTTCAGAGGCAAGGTGGGCAGACACACACAGGAGACCTCGGAGGGACCGGGGATGGAGGCGGATGAGAGGGCTTTGAGGGGGGGGGGGGGGGGAATCAGGTTGCTCTGTGAGCTCCTGAGAGGCGGTGTGCACGGCAAGCCAGCGGCCCTCGACTGGCACTTCACGCTGGGGGCTGTTCTGAAGGGAGCAGGAGCCCAGGAAGTCGGTCGCATCCCCATTGACAGACAGGGAAACGGAGGCCGCAGGGGCGCGGTGATTCACCCGCAGTCACAGAGTTTCAGCAGCAGAGCCCGGGCCTCCCAACCCCCGTGCTGTGTGCACGGCCGCACCTGTCACCGTCAGAGCACCGTGGGCACGCTGGCTGTGGGCGGCAGGCCCAGGCCTACCTTCAGAACCAGTCAGGAGGAGGGTTAAACCAGCCTCTTTTTAAAAAATAAATTGTACAGGGTGGGACAAAAGTAGGTTTACAGTTGTTCGTAGGGAAAAATAATACAAGAATTAATAAGCCACAAGACAGGAACAAACTCTGTTTCACAGACTCACAACTGTAAACCTACTTTTGCCCTACCCTGTATGTAGAAATTTATAAAGGAAGACAGGTTTCACAGAAGTTAGGAAAGCGTATCTTAGAAAAAGCTTATTGCTCATAAGCCCCGCCCCCCGCACCATGGACAGATCTGGTGTTTATTGAGTACTTGCTGCCTCCCAGGCATGGTGTGTAGCAGGCATGGTGGTCCCGGGGGCCCCTGTGGTGGGTCCTGCTGTGGTCGCACAGCATGGGCAAGAGGCGCAGGAGACCCACTGACCTGGGGTTTCATCCTGGATCTGATGTTTGCCCACGCTCCTGGTCCCATCCCCAGGGGCTGTCCATCACTGCTGAACTCTGGCAGGACAATTACGGAGGTCCACAGACCCAGGCAATATACAGACGGAGTAAATGCTGACGCTGCTGGGGGGATCAGAAAGAACAGGATCCCCTAAGCTCCGGCAGGGTTGATCCTGCTACAGGCCCTGCTTGCCATGCCAGGGAAGGTCTGGTGGCTTTCTCCTGCCTTTGGGAAGAGGTATAAGGGAGCCAGTACCTGGCTGTGCTGGCTGGGAGCAAGAGGGGCTGGTAACCCCGGGCAGGAGCAGCCTGGGCACTGTGTGCTGCCACCTAGTGGCTGAAGGGGTTGTTGATCAAGCAGCCCCTTAAGTATGTGGGAGGGCCATGTGTCATTCAAGTGTTCTTCTCCCACATTCTAAATTAAGTCATCCTTGCTGACTCAGGAAGTAAGTCAGCAAACATATCTTCTGGGGGCTGTGGTCAAATTCAGCCTCATCTTACCTGAGGGGCATAGAGGCTACCTCCCAAGTACTGCTTAGGCGCCCCAGTGCCACTGTGGGGTAAGGCGAAGAGACCCCAAACCACATGTCCCACTCGGAGCTCACAGACTAGGGGAAAGTGTCCCTTTCTCGGCCACCACCATCTTCCCCCTGGATGGAAGCAGTCACCCCCTAACGGGTCCCCTGTCACACCAGGCGCCGAGGTATCTGTAGAGTACGGACCAACCTCCCACCTCCACCTGCTCTCCAGCCCTTGCATTCCGTCCCTTGGCCGCGTGGCGTCCTCTCACCGCCAGGCGCTCAGCCTCCACCGTTGATCTCAGCAGTGCCCCCTCAGGCCACCTGGGCTTCTGCAGCCACCCGGGGCGCGGTCGCACTCTGGAACGACCTGGGCCCTGCTACTCCGGCTTCATCCTCCAGGATCTGCGCCCCTAGCTGTGCCGCTCGGGCCCCACGCTTCCTTTATTGCATCGAGTCCCCCCGCATCCTAACTGCCTGTTACTTGCCTTCCCCCAGGAGCGCGGCCCCCTAGGTAGGGGCTGTGTGTTCATAGTTGTGGCCCCAAGCAGCCGGCAGGCCCTCGCTAGCACTTCCCAGTGAACGGAGGATACGGAGACCCTGGAGTGCGGTCGATGTGGCCTTGTGCACCTGGGGCCTCTGAGGGCTCCGCCACACCCCGAGTGTTCCCCGATGCAGCAGCTGAGATGCTGCAGAGCCTTGGGGCTTTGCAGATTTCACACCTGGGTGTGCAGGTGGCTCAGGCACCTGGGATGGTGTCTGGCTGCCCACAGGACTCTGCTGAGCTGTCCTGCCCCCACTGTTTTAGTGGAGAAAGTATGAAGTGGTCTGTCCCAAAGACGGTGAGCATCTGAGAGGCCAATCCACGCTGGAGATGCAGCCAGTCCAAAGGTGGAGAGAGACCACAGAGTTTGGGGGCCTACAAGTATGTCACTAGGGCTGTGGTGTGGGGTGCAGCAGAGAGGAGGCTCCCTCTCCTTTCTGTCCCCGGGGATTGGTCCATGAAGGAGTGCCAGGCCGGGCTGGGCTCCTTCACAGAGCAGGATTGGGCAGGGGCCTCTGAGCAAAGCCCCTGTCCCTGTACAGTGTCCCAGCTGTTGACACTCCCATATCAGCGAGGGTAGCCACCGGCCAGTCCGCCTCCGTGGCCCACAGCTGAGCGGTCTCGTTTCCCTCTGACCTCTTGCACTGTCTGAATCCCTTTCCTTTTCTCGCTAAGGTGGGTCAAGAGCAGCGCTGGTTCTCCCAGGTGCGCTCAGGGTGGTTTAATGAGAGCATTTGTGTGAGTGACTGGCGCGGGGACGTCCAGAAGCGGGCAGTGGGAAGCCGAGCTCCCACCGACCCCTCCCTGTCCCCTACAGGCGCGGGCCCAGGCCGAGGCCCTCCGCATCAGTGACATGCATTTCTCCGTCAAGCCGAGCGCCAGCGCCTCCTCGCCCAAGCTGCACTCCAGCGCAGCCGTGCACAGGCTCAAGAAAGACATCAGGCGCTGCCACCGCATGTCCCGCCGCCCCCTGCCCCGCCCAGACCCCCAGGGGGGCAGCCCTGGCCTGCGCCCGCCCATCTCGCCTTTCTCGGAGACCGTGCGCATCATAAACCGCAAGGTAAAGCCTCGGGAGCCCAAGCGGAACCGCATCATCCTGAACCTGAAGGTCATCGACAAGGGCACCGGTGGAGGGGGCACTGGGCAGGGGGCTGGAAACCTTGCGCGCCCCAAAGTCCCCTCTCGGAACCGTGTCATCGGCAAGAGCAAGAAGTTCAGCGAGAGCATCCTGCGCACGCAGATCCGCCATATGAAGTTCGGCGCCTTCGCGCTGTACAACAAGCCCCCTCCGCCCGGCCCTCTGCCGCCCCCGCAAGCCAGCAAGGCCGACGTCGCTGCCTCCGCCGCCCCGGGGCTGCTCCTGCCAGCCCCCGCTGCCCCCTACGACGCCCGCAGCTCCGGCTCCTCCGGCTGCCCCTCGCCAGCACCCCAGTCCTCTGACCCCGACGACTCACCCCCCAAGCTGCTCCCCGAGACCATGAGCCCATCTGGCCCCGACTGGCGAGAGCCCGAGGTGCTCGACCTGTCCATCTCTCCCGAGACGGCAGCCACCAGCAAGCGGGCACCTCCTGACGTCAGCGCGGCCGCCAGCCAGGCACTGGCCACAGCCCCTGAGCCTGTGGGTGCCTCCTCTGAGCCTGAGGCTGGGGACTGGCGCCCAGAGATGTCACCCTGCTCCAATGTGGTCGTCACCGATGTCACCAGCAATCTCCTGACGGTCACTATCAAGGAGTTCTGCAACCCTGAGGATTTCGAGAAGGTGGCTGCTGGGGTAGCAGGTGCTGCAGGTGGGGGTGGCAGCAGTGGGGTGAGCAAGTGAGGGGGCTCCATCACGGAGGGGGCTTTGGGGGGGCCCTCCTGCCCAAAGTCATACTCTTGCTCTCCCCCCCACCCTCAGACACCTCCGCCTGTGCTTTGCTTGTTTCAAATGGCTGGTGTTGACCCCGGGATGGGGCAGGGCAGTTGGAGCCTTCTGAAGCCCAGTGGGGGTCAGTCCTGGACCAGATCAGGGCTGGGGTGGGACCGGGCACTGGAAGGTCCTCCCTCTTGCCATTGGCGCCCTCCCCGCCCATGCACAGTGGGGCCCACCGGGCGGCTCCTGAGGAGTCCCAGCACCCAGGGTTCAGCTGCCCCCGCCGCATCCCACCCCGTCCCCCCAGTTTGCTTCCAGCTCTCCTGCGCAGTGTCTGATTTCTCGGTGCTGACCCGGCGGCCTCGGACCCCTTGGAGGCCCCTCCCAGCGCTCGTGCTGTTCCTTTCCTTCCTCCAGACGCCTGGGCAGGGGGGGTAGGGGGGGCAGGGATGGCGGAGCTCAGACGGAGGTTGGGGCGAGGCCAGCCTCGGCCCCTCCCTGCACATCAGCGAGGGTGGCCGTGCCCAGAGGCAGGGGTCTCCTGCCCACCGTTGGAGGAGACCCAAGGGCCCCCTTAGGCCCCGCCCCACCTCTTCACTAGTTTCCATCCGGAAGGTGGGGGGTGGGCAGGGAGCTGAGCTGGCCGCAGCCTCCCAGCACGAAAGGCCCCTTCAGTCCCCAACCAAAGGTGCTACGAGAACCTGCTGTGGACGCCTCCAGCTGTGCGCGCGTGTCTGCGCCCCGGGCGCGTTCGTGCATGTGTCTTCACGCCTGGGCACTGCGCACCGGGTCCAGGCTTTCCGGCGGCTCCCTTTGGGGTTCTTCAGCACGGGGTCACCGAAGGCCTGGATCCTCCCTTGCCGGCAGCTGGGCCTGTGGAGGCCGCCAGGCCAGTCCTTCCTGCCCGGGTGGGCAGGGGGCATGGTCCCCGTGCCCTTCCCTTCTGGGGCGGTCAGCCTGACTGCCGGGCCTTCGGTGGCCGCACGCGTGGCATGGTGGGGACTGAGGCAGGGAAGGGAGGCCCCCGCCCTGGACTTCCACCTTCCTCCCGTGTGCTTTGGGGGAAGGAGGAGGCCTGGAAGTGGTCTCGAGGGTCTCTGGCTTCTCTCCAGCCCTCTCTTTTGCTTCTGACCCTGAGGCTCTCTCACAGCCCAGCCTGTTCGAGGCGGTGGGAGGCCTCCGGGGCCCTGGGCAGCTTTTCTCCCTCTGCTGCCAGGGAGCAGAGGCCTCCGTGCCAGTGGCAGAAACCAAAGCCCCAGGTGGAGCCCGGGCCCCGGGAGGCCAGGCGGGCCGGGGCGGGGGCCTGCTGCGCGACAGCCTTGCGTGGCGTGCCCTGCCCGCAGCTCAGCGTGGCTCCCTGGGGTGTGCGCTGAGTGACGGGTCTCAGCCGGGAAGTGGGAAGCGTGGTGGCAGGAGGCAGGAGATGACAGAAAGGGAATCCGATTGGGGAGCAGACTCCTCCTTCCTGAGTGTGGGAGGGCCCCTCCTGAGAGGCCTCCCCACCAGGGCTTCCGCCCAGCCCCACCCCCCCACCCCTAGGTGTGGAATGAGGGCCCTCACAGGGTTTTGGGGGGCTGGCACTCCCGGACCCCTCTGCACCTGCCCTTTGTGTTGGCTCTGTGGCCGTCCAAGTGCCAATTGGCTTCCCCCCAAATAAGGGCTGGTGTTTCTCCTCTGTCCTCAGAGGCGATTTCCCCCGACCCCTCACCCCAGGGGCGTGGCCGCCTGGGTGCCAGTTACAGGTGTTTCCAGAGACCATAGAAATGTGTTTTCCTGAGAGTCCGTGTCATTCGTGACTTTTTTTGTAAAGAAGTTGTGTTTTCAGAGGTGATTTTATGACAGGAAAGTGAAAGACTTAGTTTTGCAAAAAACAAAAAAAAAAAGAGGAAAAAAAAGAAATAGAAAAAAATATTGTGGGATTCCTATGGGGTTTGGGGGGGCGGGGAGAAAGCTATTTAAAAGAGAAACTAGTGACGCAGTGATTGCACAGGTGAGGTGGCAGTGTCGGGGACAGGAGCGGGGGCCCGGGCCCCGCCGGCGCGTCCCCAGGGCTGTGGCCGACCGCCTTGCTTCCGTGGTTCGAGGCAGCATGAGCCCTCCCGTCCTGGGCCCGGACTCCACACCTGTCCTCCCTCCAAGGAAAGGATGCCCACTGGTCCAGGGGGGCTAGCCAGAAGCTGCAGGGACCAAGCCACTGGAGCTGATATTTGGGGAGGTGGGGGTCAGCAGGGGTCCCCCCCCCCCATCGCCAGATGGGTCGTGGGTAACTCTCTGCAGGAAGGCTGGAGAGTAGGTGCAGTTGCTCCGTTCCTTTGCCAGCTTGTCGGGCCACCTGGTCCCCACCACCACCACCCCGTGGGGGGTTTCTCCCTCCCCATCACCCCAAAGACCATGATGCCCCTGGGCTTCCCTGGCCGGGTAGTGGATGCAGGCTCCAGGCAGACAGAGCTGTGGACCCCGGGAGACCCTTAGGTGGTGACCCTGTGGACTGAGGGTAACCGTGGGCAGGAGGGAGTGCCTGCCCCAGGGCCCAGACTTGCAGCCCCGCCCCACCGTGGCACTCTCGGGGACACGCGTGCACTCTGCTCCCACAGGGCCTGAGTGGGCACGGTGTCGCCAGCAAGCAGAGCCCCCCTCACCTCTCTCCAGAGTGGCTTGGAGCAGGGGCCCAGAAGCGCCCCCACACACACACACACACTCTCTTGCACGGATCTGCCTCCCATGGGCCCTTCCCCCTTGCTGCTTTTCCGTTTGCCTAATTACCAAGCAGAAGTTGCCGTCTGGTTTGCTTTATTTTCATGTGTGAAACGCCCCCACAGCCCGATCTCCCCCATGTTAGGCCTTTGGTGGGGGCGTCAGTCACGGCCCCTCATTGCCACGCCTCCTCATCCACACGTCATAGGAAACAGGTGAGGTCCGGTGCCTCTGGTTTGAGATGGGAAGGCGGGCCCTACCCCTGACCCGCCCCCCCGACCCTCGCTTGCCCGTCTGTGAAATGGGTGTATCGGGCAGCAAGGCCTCTTCGTGGAGCACTGCCAGCATCCAGGCAGCCACCGAGGGTCAGCAGTGGTTGAGGTTGCCGCCCTGGGCCTCCAGCCGCCCACCACTCCCACGGCCCCCTCTGGTTCTCACCCTGCAGCAGGGCCAGGGTCCAAATGAGCTCCGTGCTTCTACTCCGGAAAGAGGTGACGATCAAGCACCCAGCCACAGCGTGAGGTGGGCGCTGTGGGAGGGATCACCCACTTACAAGACACAGACACTGGGTCTCAGAGGCAGAGCCGCTCCACGGGGTGAAGAGCCCGCTGCTCTGGCCTTTGGCCTTTTCAAAGCCCCTCTCACCAGTGGGGCCTGGGCCCTGGAGCCACCACTAAGCTGGCAGGCTGCCCCTGAGCCCCCACGGTCCCGGGGGAGGGGTCAGCCCAGGGTAGGAAACTTCGTGGGGAGGGCGGGTGGAGGCTGAGCCACGCCAGCCTTTGGCCTCTGGCGACCACGTGGACGCCCCACCCTCCCCGCCTTGTGGGGTCTGGTTCTCGCTGTTGGTTTTCGTTCGTTTGTTTGTTTTGCACTTCGCCCCACTTCAGACAGTGGAGCCCGGCCCCGTCAGCTCCACGGGCGCCCATGCACTAGCCCGGGGCGGCCTCTCGGGGGCTTGTGTGGTTTAAGGAATCACTTTTAAAAGGAAAAAAAAAAAAAAAAAGGAAAGTGTTTAAAGGTTTTTGTTTTTTTCTGTCTGCATCTCCTCTCGGATTCAGAAAAGCCCAGAATTACAGCCTCCGGCCCCAGGAGAGGGTCTCCCCGGCCTGACCCCCATCTTGCTGACAGTCACCAAGATGCCACAAGGGGACAGGCTGGGTGGGGACTGAGGACCCCACCTCCCAGGCCCGCAGGATGCCCCCCTCCATCTTGAAGGAGTCAGCACCTCACTCCAACAGTGCGTGAGCGCCTACTGTGTGCAATGCTTCCGCTAGGCAAAGGGGGGCCGGTGGCCCAATGGGGGACCCTTTGCGAGAGGCCGGGGAGGAGGAGCAGGGAGTCCTGGGGTCTGCCCTGCTGTTGGCCAGAGTGGAAATGGAGACGTTTTTGTTGTTGTTGGTTTTAATTTAAAAACACAAAGGCCTAAAGAAATGTATCTTATAATTTTTTTTTTAATTTTTGAAAAGCTCATTTAATGCATTGTGCACGAATGAATTCTATATATATAAAATATACATATATAGCTCTATATTTGGGGAGGGTGCTGTTTCTTTTCTCTCTGTCATTTTAAAAATGAAGTGGCGTTGCCTTCATCTGTGGTCCAACCATCCAGCACCCAGCTGGCTAAACTCTGCCTCCCGTGGTTACGGAGAGGACACTCGTGGAGAGGACACTCGTGGGGTCGGCGGGAGACCGGAGCAGACAGGCCGCCCGGCGTGCCGGGGTGCCCGCCCGCCCGCCCGCCCACCCCTGTCCCCGGGGCTGCGGGTGGAGAAGGTGGCTTGTTTCGGGTGTGGGTTTGGGTTCTGTTCTGGATTCAGCTGTTTCTGGTCTGGGGGAGGGGGGTTCGTGCCGATTCTCTCGTCTTGTACGTTCGTTCCGCTGCTCTTCAATATTGTATCGATGCCAGGAAGGGGGGTGAGAAGCCTCTTTCGCTCCCCAAATAAATTGTCACATTCCGAAGCTAAGGCCCAGCCCCTGGGTTGGGGTGTCTGTCTCGTTTCTGCCGCTGTGACTGGTCTCTGGACAGCATCGGATCTGCCTCTCCTGCAGGGGTCGGGGAGGGGGGGACTGGAGGGTCATGCCCCCCGCCACCGGGGCCGCCCAGCGCTGCGCCGGCCACCCCACTCCCCCTGCGTCACAACCAGTAAGCGGGGGTGAGCGCCCACCCCTGGTGAGACCACGCTGCCAGGGACCTGGACCGCATCTCCTAGCCGGCCCGTGGGAGGGTGGGGCCCCGCCACTGCCTGCCCTCGGCCCCCCCCCCCCGTGGGAATTACATCACCTACGGGGTGGGGCGCCTGTGGGGCTGGATCCCGGACAGGCTTGCTGCCCCTGAGCCTGAGCGAACAGCCCAGAGTGGGGGGCACGCGGTGCGCTGGCCAGCGGGTCCACAGTTTGGCCCAGCACCTGGGTGACGAGGAGCTGCTGCCACGGTTTGGAGCAGCAGCAGCAGCAGCGTGTTCTCCAGGCGCTCAGGGCGTCTCGGGTTACACCCGCAGCCCCGACCCGCCATCCCCCCTGCAGGACGCCCGCCCGGCTCCGGACGCAGCTCCTGGCCAGACGCCTCCTTCCTCTAGGGCCCACGCTGAGCCTCTGGGTGCCCATGCCACCCGTTCGCCAGGCCTCGCTCGGGTGTCACCTTCCTCACCGCCCTCGCCCCTCTTCCTTCTTCCTGGAGCTCCCCACGCCTCCCCTCCCCCCTGGGGTCCAGCTCGCTCGCCTTTGCGAAGCCTCGCTGGGCGGCTGGGCTCCAGCTGGCCGGCACCGCCTCCCGCCTCGGCCACTCCAGTGCGCTCCTCGCCCCTTCAGAGAGCCCGTTGTCCCCAGGTCGTGTCCCAGGCCCGCAGCCTGCAGGGGGGCGCCCCTCCCCTGCTCCGCCCTCACACGTGCTCCCCCACCTCCGTCCCGGGCTGACCTGTGGGCCGGTCCCTCCCTCTCCCTGAGTTGCCCGCAGCACAGGCGGGAGCATGGCCCTGGCCGTGGCTGGTCCTGGATACGGGGCCCGCGGATTCTGGGCAGGCAGATGGGAGGGTGCGCGAGGGGCTGCAGTCCACCCGTGAAGCAGGGCGGGCCCTCCTCCGTGACACCTGCTCCAGGTCACCCTCCTTTGTCTCCGCTCCATCATCGTGCCCAGCGCTGTCCTGTCGTCCACAAACCCCCATTCGGTGCTTACTAACAAACACACGAGCTGCCAGTGCATGGGCCGCGTGCCACTTCACGCTCTCCTTGCCCCCACCAGTGCCCAGTGAGGCCCGCGGTGCTGAGTGACCTTCCTGGGGGAGGGTCGGAGTGGCGCCGCCCGGGGAAGTGGGCGGGGCTTCTCTCCCGGCGCCTCTCTGCCCCGCCCCCAACCCCTATGCTTTCTGGGACTGAGAGCATGCGGGACGCCCTTGTCCGACCACAAGTGTGTCCTGAGATTCCAGTCACTAGGGTCCCTTATCACGAGCCGTCCATTACGTTATCAGTTGCGGGTGAGGGCATGTGACCGTGCCAGCTTCCAGAGGAGGATCCAAGGGTTTGTGATGTGGGCGGGGCGGGATGACACACCCCCCCGGGCTGGGGAGCCACCGGCCCGTCTGAGGTGCGCCCGTGGGTTACACGCAGCTGCCGCTGCTGTCTCTCTGTCCGTCTGCCAGGCGGGGCCTGGCCTGGCCCCGCCCCTTGCCTCGGCCTACTCCTGGGCCTCGCTAGGGTACAGGTCAGCTGTGGGGTGCAGCGCGGGACTGAAGCAGGTAAGGAATGGGGGTCGGCGTGGGGTGAAAGTGACAGTTATGCAAAGTGACTCGGTCATTTAGAAGCTGGAAATTCTGTCCTTGCCAAGGTGTGCCTGAAGTGAGCGGGGAGGCCGGAGTGGCCGCATCAGAATGCGAGACCCCCCAAGCCTGCTTCCCCACCCCCGGCAGAGCCAGTGCGCCCACCCCGCGCCCTCTTTGTTCAGGCCCCTGGCCCGGACAGGCTGAGGGAGCTCCAGGACACCCAGTCACGGCAGCGGGGGCACAAAGGAAGCGAAGGCAGCGGCAGGTGACACCCCTCTCACCACCAGGCGCCCCTGTGCTTGCTCTGAGCACCTGAGAGTCCACGGAGGTCCCAACGGTGCTGACCAGACAGACAGAACCCTGGGAGCTGCAAGAGGCCTGGGCGGAGGCAGCGGAGGCGGCGGAGGCAGCGGAGGCGGCGGAAGCAGCGGAGGCAGCGGAGGCAGCGGGGGTGAAGGGAAATGGCCGGAGTCAGGAGATGCTTAGGAAACCGAGCATTTGGTGCGTGACTCTGAGTGTTTGCGAGAGGGGCCCTTGAAAGGCACCGTGGGGACCCGGTGCAGGCAAAGGAGAGGGTGTCAGCCCCACTCACGGGGTGGGGGGGACACCTGGCCGAGGGGGCAGCTTGCGGGGGGAGATGAGTTCGGTTTGGGGCACCATGGCTGTGAACAGGCAGAGGGTCCAGGAGGGATTTTCACCCTTAGGTTTGAAGCTGGGAGCAAGTTCCTGCCCACACAGAACTTACTGGAAAAATCCACCCCTTTGTTGAAGAGTCTTCGCCGCAGGTGCACCTCAGCCCTGACATGACTGGTCACCAGACATCCTGGAAGGACCACTAGGGTCTTAGGTGCTTAGCTCCAGAGGGCACTGAGGTACCCCCCAGCCCCTGGCCACCCCCACCCTCCCAGTCACACCCTTTTCTGGTGAGGCGGTGAGGCAGCTGGCTGGCGGGCAGTCAACCCCACCCGACCAACCGGGAGGCAGGGCAGCGTGGGGGCCGTGGGCCTCCCAGGGTCGCTCGGAGGCAGAAGGGGTGGACCTCAGGTCTCAGGCATGGTGGATGGCACCTTCTGAAGAGTTCCATGCCACTTAGACACACCAGGTAAAATGTAACAGACCTTCTTTTAAATGCCCAGTGAGCTTCCACAATAGCAAAGAGCTCCCCAGGGACCACACACGAAGGGGGAGCCCACACTGGCGCAGTGGGCAGATGCCGGTCCTCTGGCGAGGCGGGTCTGTGGGCGGCAAGGGGACCAGGGTGCGGACGTGTCAGCCGTTGCCCATCCTGGGAACCACAGGGTTTGGCTTGTGTAGCTCTGTGGGGACAGGAGACAAGGCCTTGGGCCCTCTCCAGAAGGGATTCGGGACCCAGACGCTTTTTTTTTTTTGAGATTTTATTTATTTTTAGAGAGGGAAGGGAGGGAGGAAGAGAGAGAGAGAGAAACATCAATGTGTGGTTGCTGGGGGCTGTGGCCTACAACCCAGGCATGCGCCCTGACTGGGAATCGAACCTGCGACACTTGGTTCGCAGCCCATGCTCAATCCACTGAGCTACGCCAGCCAGGGCTTGGGACCCAGACACTTGAATAAAGGTGGGCCCATATCCTCAATGAAAGACCACACGAGAGAGAAAAATCACCCTTTTGCAAACAACAGGAAGAAGTCATCAAAGAAGTCTCATTTTGCGTGGCTCTCTCGGGAAATGTAAATAAAGTCTCTCTTAGGAAATTGTAACTCTAGACCTCCCCTACCACAGATTTGAGGTTTGAGTTTTCACGCCCCCTGTGGTCTCAGAACCCCCGAGCCTGGAAATGGCGCACAAAGCACCCACGAGGCACCTGTGCCGGTAGCCGATACAAGCTTCTCTGGAGGGACAGGGCCACCGCAAAGGCCGCTCGGGATTCTCGCAGGTGAAACCCTTTGAACACGAGCTCATAACCCGAAGGTACAAAACGTGCAAAGACTCGGGCTGCAAAGACCGACACCTGTGGAATCCCGCCCCTGCCACGTCCTGTTCGAGCGCACGACGGTTTTCAAAATTGCCGTGGACCTCTCGTAGAAGGACATGAAAGCACGTCCCAATAAATGTCAGGAACCTGGCACCACAGATCAGGTCCAATTAAATCAAACACCACAAGCGAAAGGCTTGCTGAAAAACCACCCCTGGCATCCTCAGACGTAGCCCGGGTCTCTCGCTCCTCTCCACCCACTCCCTCCCCGGCCTGTGGCCTGCGGGACCCCCGAGGACACTGGGGCCCCAGGGTGGACGTGAAAACGCTAATAGGCGGCAGACACACAGGAGGGGCGCAGCATGTCCCAGGGGAACTGGATGGGAACAGGTCTCCCTCTGGGCTCGCTGCACAGGGTGTCGCCTTCATTAGAGCAAAAGGCCGGTCCCTTCTGTCTTTTCCAAAGGACGGGCTCAGGGTGTGACAAAGACAGAAGCCTCTGCTGAAATGGCAGCCGCCAGCCATCAGCCTTTATGAGCCAGCGCATCCAGGAGACATCCCTGCAGAGCCCGGGTGGGCCGAGAAAAGTGGGCCGGTGCCGGGAGGCAGGGGTTCTCGGTGCTGCGACAGAGAGACAAGCACCCTGCCAGCCTGGCCCTCCCTGCCTACCTCGCCTAATGGTCTCAAATCCCAGCATGAGCAGCACGCTCTTTTGGGGCAGCTTTGGAGGCCCCCAGCGGTTCCAGGAAGGCTCAGTACTCCCATCTACGTGCAAGGAAATGGGACACACTTTGGAAAAGGTGCCTGTGGACTCCGTCCCCCACGGGGACTCATTAAACTGATCATCATGTCAGCCACTCCCCGGGCAACCTCTGCGGGCCCTCGGGGCTCGGTTTCCATGAGGCAGCATCTAGAAGAGGCCAGCTGCCCTCGTCTCCCCTGACCCCATGCCCGCTTCTCATCCGCCTGCCTGCCCGCCTGCCTGCCTGCCACGGCTCAGATGCCAGAAAGACACCCCTGTCCAGTTCAGGCGGCCAGGCCTGAGGCTGCCCGGCCACTTCCCCTCTCCGGGCCTGGCGCTCCTGTGCAGTGAAGGAGCCCAGCACTCGCTCCTCGGCAGGTGCCTTGGCAGCACCGGAGGTGGTGGCTGTGAAAGGGTTGAAGTTCAAGCTGGATATGGGCAAGAAGAGGCGTCTTCTCGATCTCCGTGTCCAGACCACCCCTCTGGCTTCCAGCCCGGGTGTTCCAGCTGTCTGCTCACCAGCTCTTGGGGCCTTACCCCACGAAACCGCTTGAGGACAGCAGAGAAACCGTGGAGGAGTCCCAGCTCTGCCAGCTGTGTGCTCTCGGGCCAGGCAATCACCCTCTCTGGGCCTCTGGATCCGCTTCTGTAGAGTGGAAGAGAGGGCCTTTCCCAATTACCACCCCCCCCAGCGCAGAATTACTCTCAGGAAGATAACTAGCGTGTACAGAGTGGACTTTACACGGATTAACTCATTAAATCCACACAACTCCGAGAGCACAGCACCCACAACATGGAGATGAGGGACCTGAGACCCGAACTCATGCAGTCAAGTTGCGCACACCCACTAGGCCACCGTCCTCCCTGCAGAGCACGCTGGGCAGGGGACAGTCACTGGAGCTGGACCGCTCGCCTAGGTGGGACCCCGGGCAAGTTGTTTAGCTCTGCTGTGCCTCAGTTTCCCCATCAGTAAAAAGAGGGAGAGACTAACACCCCCTTCCTCACTCAACCCCCTTCAGCAGGATTGCCTGCTGAGTGCCCCACGAGCCGGGCTCTGAGCTGCACACTCGAGTTTTGCTCCGGCGTGAACCCTCCCGTGGGCAGCCAAGGAAGCGAGAGAGGCTGAGTCACTTGCTCCAGGTGGCACTGTTAGCGGGATGCGGTGCTGAGACCCAAACCCAAACCGAAACCCGGACTTCAAAGTCCACGCTTTCAACCACTCTGCTCCACCAGCAGGTGGCGCCCTCAAAGTCCAACTTCAAAACCGACCTGCGGCTGCACAGGGGCACTCCCCGCCGGCTGCCTGACTCACGGGGGCCTGATGGGGCCTGAACCCTGGCCTTGACTTTGACTCATCCTCTCACCCCAGTCACCAGTGTCAGTGACTAACTGACCCCTTAATGGAAATGCCCCTTGGGCCCCTCCTCTCCTCCTCCGCCCAGCTGCCTGTTCCAGTTTAGACCCCCAAAGCTGAAGACATTGTCTCCAAGGACGCCCACCACAAAGAGGAGACTTGTAAAGGGGCTGGACCCGAACTGCTCTGGTCCCGCAGCCTCCGGGGCCATGCGGCGCGGAAGCCAGCCGTGAGGTGGGCGGTGGGAGCTCGGAGACGGAGTGAGCGGTCTTTGGAGACGGCTGGCGTTGCCCCCAGCCTCAGCCCAGAGGACCCGAGAACGTGGCACAGGGAACCTGTCCACCGGAATTTGGGAGGCGAGGCGACTAGGGCCAAAGGGGGGAGGCTGGCTAGAGTTACCTGTTTCCACCAGGCAGGGACCCGGCAGCTGTGGGGACAGCCTGGACTCCCAGCATTCCCGGGCCCCAGCAGGAACCTTGCTGGCGTGGGTGGTTTGAGGTGATTTTGAATCGGGATCGTGCCCCAAGGAGACGGGGGGACAGCAGTCAGGGAAGGTGCATGTGGTCCCATGAGAAGAACCTGTGCTGGGTGGGCCCCGGAAGACAGGCGCCGGAGGGGGGTTGTGCGCACCTGCCGGCCAGGGGCTGCTCCGCCCTGGCGGGAACTGCAGGTGGGAGATCTCTAGTGCAGGGGCAGGAGGGGATCTCTGAGGGACCCACAGAAGTGCCCCTGATGAGAAAGAGCCAGTTTCCAGACTCCCGGCCCCCCGGGAACTTGGGCTCTTCCGAGAACGCCTAAACCAGCCAGGTCGGACTTAACTCACCACCTCACTCCCCTCCCTGCCCCTAGCTCCAACCCGGGAGAGACCAGGGGCACCTAGTGGGGGAGGGCGGGGGGAGAGCGGACCACACTGGGTCTCAGAGACGCCCTCCGAGCCTCCGCCCTCACTACCCAGGCCTTCGTGTTTGCGGAAGACTCGGGCTGGGGGCGAGGAGAAGCTTTCAATAGAGCTGAAGGCTCTGCCACTAGGCCACGAGATTTTAGCATCTAAAAAAATAAGGTCTAAGCACAAGGCCCTCTGCGTGTCCCTGTGCAGCTTCGGCCTCCTACTGGGCGCTCCTTGGCCCCTCCTGCGGCTCCTCCCCTCCCAGCCCAGTCCCCCGCCCCTCGGGCTCAGGGCCTCCGCAACAGCCTTCCCCTCACTGCCCAGGGGACATATCCCAGTGGTCATTGGCTCGACTGTCTGGGTTCGTATTCCAGCTCCTCGACCTGACAGCTGAGTGACCTGAAGCAAGTTGCTTGACCTCTCTGTGCTGCAGCACTGCTCTCTGTGACCCAGGGATGGGGAGACGGCCCCCTAATCCACCGCGGGCCTGTGAGGCTTAGCCTGATTACATAGCACCTAGGAACACGCAACAACCAGTGTTAGCGTTCATCACTCCTTTTTTAAAGATTTTATTTATTTACTTTTAGAGAGGGAAGGGAGGGAGAAAGAGAGAGAGAGAGAGAGAGAGAGAGAGAGAGAGAAATATCAATGTGCAGTTGCTGGGGGCCGTGGCCTGCAACCCAGGCATGTGCCCTGACTGGGAATCGAACCTGCGACACTTTGGTTCGCAGCCCGAGCTCAATCCACTGAGCTACGCCAGCCAGGGCCTCATCACTACTTTTTTAAAGATTTTATTTATTTACTTTTAGAGAGAGGGAAAAGGAAAGAGAAAGTGGAGCAGAGAAACAGCAATGTGTGAGAGATGCATTGGATTAGTTGCCTCTCGCACACCCCCAGCTGGGGACCTGGTCTGCAACCCAGGCATGTGCGCTGACCGGGAAGCAAACTGGTGACCTTCCAATTTGCAGGCTGGCGCTCAATCCACTGAGCCACACCAGCCAGGGGTGGTCATTATTGTGGAATGCCTTTTTGCTGTGTAGTTGGGCAAGTCCCTTCCCCCTCAGCCCCCTGCTTCTCAGTTTCTGTGTCTGAAAAATAAATTGTTGGGGAGGGGGGGTAATAATTTGATGGTGGCTGCAGCTAATGCTGGTGGTAGGCAATCTTCACTGAGAAGAGAGACCCCAGCCCAGGCCCACCTCAAGGTGGTCCATGCGGATGGCTGGCAGCTCAGCGGGCAGCAGCAAGGCGGGGGTCTTGCCAATGGAACAGCCACCCCCCCCCCGCCCCGTCTCACGCATGCCTCTTCTTCCAGCCTCGGAGCCTCCCCAACATGCCCCCCCTTCCCCTAGGGTCCCCTTGGGTACTTGAGCCAGATCAGGAAGTAGCTGGTGTTTGGGAGCATCTGCCACACACCCTTGGTTCCTTGGTGGTCACATAAGAACGGCCACCCAGACGAGGCCCCAGGTGCTGCCCTTTCCTCTGGCCTCACCACGCACCTCTGCCCTGGCCCTGTGTCCACCCTCCCTGGTTCTCCTTCCTGAGGGGACCTTTGCCCTCCCACGGGGACTTGCGTCGCGTCCCAGGCAGCGCAGGGCTGCCGGTGCCCCTGGTGCGGACCGAGGAAGGGAGGCTCGCAGAGCCCTCCAAGTCGGCTCTCCTGCCTCCAGCGCAGCATCTGCGGGTCCTGCGGGCCGTCAGGCAGCCGCCTCTTCGGGAGGAGCTGGAGAAACGCCGTTCCTTAGGCTCCCTCGTGCGTGACGACGCAGGCGCACCCTGAACGCACACCGGGGTGCCGGTGACCCAGATAGGAGGCAGACGCCGTGCCAGGCCTCAAGGAGTTCTCGGACTCGGGGCGGGGCGGGTGCAGGCGTGACTGTGCGGCACGGCGGGTGGCGGAGGGCGGGGCAGGCGCGGGGCTGCAGCGGCCTGTGGGTTAGACAGGCTCCCGGGGTCTAGGAAGGGCCTAGAGAAGGGTGGACTCAGCCCAGGGCAAAGGGAAGGTCCAGGATGAACTTGGCCTCTGTCTCTGGCCGACTCTGAGGGTGAGAACCTGTGGTGTGGGATCGGCGATCGTCTGGGTTCAAATCCCAGGTGCACTCCCGCCGAGCACGGGACCTCGCAAATGACCGCGTCTCTCAGTTTCCGTTTTCTTCCTGCGAGACGGGGATGGTGACAGAGTGGGGCTCCGGGGCGGCCGCAGGGGAGGACCCGGCAGAGGAAGGTGCGGGCGGGAACGACCGCAGGAAGGCAGGCCAGCGCTGCCCTGGGGACGGTCAGACAGGGAGGGCAGCCGGCCCACCCTGACCGCCGCAGGAAGAGCACGTGCTTTGTTAGGTGGCCACTCCTTCCGGTCGTCCTTGGCTGGGCCTGGACTCGGCTACACGCACTTCAGCCAACTCCCAGCCCGCCCCCCGCAAGGAGGACACCCGCTCCCTCCTGGGCGCTCGGCCCCTCCTGAGCTGGGAACAGATGTCCCTGCTTCCTGCCGGAGCCTGGGAGCTGGGCTGGCTCCTTCCGCGGCTTCAGGGAGGCAGAAACCCTGGGTGGAAATCTCTGGGCTTCCCCAGAGCGGGAGGCTCTGTCTCCTCTGGCCTCTGCCCCGCCCCTCCAGCCCGGCTGCTACCCCTGGCATCCGCGGGTCCCTCGCAAAGGTTCCTGGGCCCTCCCTGAGCCCTGCTTCCTTTCGGAAGGCCCCGAGCCGTGCTGTGTGGGCTGGACACGCACCGGAGCCTTGGTCTGGAGGACGCCCTGACTCTGCTGAGAAATGGCGTGGGGCCCCGGCCAGCGTGGCCAGCTGGTTGGGCATCATCCCACAAACAGAAAGGCTGCCGGTTCAAATTCTCCGTCAGGGCACAGGCCTGGATTGTGGGTTCGGTCCCCAGTCAGGGCACGTACAGAAGATAACCAATCAGTGTTTCTCTCTTTTCCTTTTTTATCAAAAAGTTAAAAATTTGGCCCTGGCTGGCATAGCTCAGTGGATTGAGCGTGGGCTGCGAACCAAAATGTCACAGGTCCGATCCCCAGTCAGGGTACATGCCTGGGTCGCAGGCCATGACCCCCAGCAACCGCACATTGATGTTTCTCTCTCTCTCTCTCTGTCTCCCTCCCTTCCCTCTCTAAAAATAAATAAATAAAATCCTTTTAAAAAAAGTTAAAAATTTGAAGAACAAAAAAAGAAAGAAACGGTGTGGGAGGGGACAGCAGAAGGACTGCAGAGCGACTGTGGAGGGAGGCCCTGAGGGCAGCACCTGCAGAATGAAGGCGCAGAAGTGAGAGAGGGAAGGTAACAGGCACTGAGTGCCCAGCATGTGCTGGGGGTGGCATGTTAACTGGCTGGTTTGCTGGCACCATACGGAGCAGGCAGCGGGCACGGGGTGCCCACCAAGTGCCGGGCACTGCTCCGTGCCCTGCACATGGCACCGATACAGAGCGGCCACTGTCTCTGCCCCGAGTCCCCGAGAGATCTCACACAGGACACCTCATCTGGTCTTACCTAATGGTCACTCCAATCCCCTGTGAGGGCAGGACCGTGACCCCATTTTATAGGTAAGGCGGCTCCAGGCCTGGGACAGTCTGTCTCTGGGCGGACACTGGACCCTCAGGCTGCAGGTATCCAGGAAGGACACAGGCAGCCGTCTTTGTCCCCTCAGGAGGAAAGCCCAGGGGGACCTTGGAGAAGCAGCTCCCTGATGGCGTGTGGAGGAGGGGACCTTCACGGCACCAGGTGGGGGGACTGTGGCGCCATGGAGGGGCACCGCGCAGCCCCCCACTTGGAGAACGAGCTCGCCGCTCTGCCGCTGGCGCATGGGGCAGGGGGAGGCGCCTCCAGCTGCAGGGCCATCCGGGCCCACCCCAGCCTTTGTCTGTTTTCAGAGTGGTTTGGGGTTCTCAGCGGTGCTGAGCAGGAGGCGCAGAGAGGTCCCCCCCGCCCCGCCCCTGCACACGCACAGACCCCCCACTCCCAGCATCCTAGACCAGAGGGCACGCTGGCCGCAGCTGACGAACCCTGACACTGACGACGTCACCGTCACCACCAAGTGCGCAGCTCACGCACGGGCTCGCTCTCGGCAGCGCCCCCTCCGTGGGTCTGCGCAAACGCACAGTGACCCGCATCCACCACTGCGGTCTCGTAGAGAACAGTGTCGCTGCCCTAAAACCCTCCGTGCTCTGCCCATTCATCCCTCCCTCGCCCATATCCCCCGGCAACCGCCCATCTTCGCACTGTGTCCATGCTTCTGCCTTTTCCAGAAGGTCCTATTGTTGGAGCCACACGTGGGTAGCCTTTTCAGACCGGCCCCTTTCACCGAGGGATGCGCATTGAAGGTTCCTCCATGCCTTTTCCTGGCTCGGCAGCTCCTTTCCTGGTAGCCCCGAGTGACATTCCATTGTCTGGATGTATCCCCGTTTATCTGTCCATTCCGTGTACGGGCACCTTGGCTGCTTCCCAGTCTGGGCACTTATGAGCTGCTGTAAACATCCACACGCAGGCTTCTGTGTAGACATCACCCCAGCGTTTGAGCTGCGGCCACCTTCCTCTGGGCCAGACGCACCGGGGCCGGGGCATCTGTGCCCAGCGCAAAGCCTCCGTAGCAGAGAACCCTCATGCCAGAGCCCCGTGCTGGGTGGGCCAAGACTCGGTCGGATCTGCACTGAGGTCTGAGGCCCCCCTGCCCAGTTCTCCCTCCTCCCCTTTTATCTTCCACAAGACTCGGCGCCCAACCCCACCCCAGGGCCCGCTCCCTGGAGGGCCCGACCGACAAACTCCCCCTCCACGTTCAGTCCACAGCCCACCCGGTTCTCTCCACCGCCGGGACCTGCGGCCCCCATTCCTTTCACCTGGAGGCTGGATGGCCCCCAGCGGGTCTCCCTGCTTCCCCTCCGATCCCTTTGTGACCCGGCCTCCATGCACCTGCCAGAGGAGCCTTCTACAACTAGGGACCCCAAGCTATCACCGCCCTCCCCCGCTTGGGCTGAGAATCAGACAGCCCCTCCCCCAGCCCGGGCAGCCCCACCCACCTCACTCTGCCTTCCTCCGCAGCCTCCTCTCTCCCCTGGAGTTCACTCTGCTGCAGCCCCATTGGCCTGCTCTCTGTCTCTGAAACACACCACGTTCATTCTGCCTCAGGGCCTTTGCACCAGCTGCGCCCCCTGCCGGGAACACTGGGTCTTCCCCCAGATCCCTGCACGGCTGGCGTCTCAGATCGTTCGGGTCCCAACCTCATACACAATGTCCATCTCCCAGTACCCGCCCCTGTCATTTTCTATCATATTACTTTTACATTTTAAACTACTTTAGCATTTCAAATGTTCCATCGCAGTTCTCATTACTGTCATCAATTAACGGTTTCGTTTAATTATTCATTTGTTTACTGCCTGCCTCCCCACTAGAACAGAAAGTGGGGGCTTGTCTCGCTTCCAGCTCTCCCCGGTGCCTGGCACAAAGTCCGTCTCCAAACATACATTTTGAACGAACGACTATATTTGTTCATTGAGGGCAGAATTCTCTTACCCTAAGAATGGAGTGAAAGTGGAGAAATAAAGCATCTAGGAGACACGAGAATTCAGAGGGAAAATAGGGGGACAACTGCCGCCTGAGGAGGTCCCCCTGAGAACCCCCTTTCCTGACCATCTCTCGAGGAGTTCTGGGTTAGGGCTGGGGCGGAGGTCTCGTCCGCAGCACCAGCGAGACGGTTTGGGAACCCCCCTGGCCGGCCTCTCGCCTCCGCCCCGGGCAGCTGCACTGTTGCCTGCGGGGAAGTTAGATCCGTCCGCGTTCGCCCAGGTGGCTGCCGCCTTTTTCGTTTTTCGGTACCTACCGGACGCTGGGGATGCAATGAATCGAGGAAGGAGGGGGCGGCCTTCCAGGTGGGGGACGGCACGAACAAAGGCAGAGACAGGAGACCTTCCCGGATACGTGGGGAGTTACGCACAGCGCACGGGCAGTGAGGGACGGGCCGTGGGGCTGGAAGGGTGAGCGGTGTCCACACGACCCACAGTCTTACAAACCAAGAGCAGCCGACGTAGTGACACCCGACGCTTACGCGGCTTTCCTCCTTCCATTCCCCACGTTGGGGCTTGGAGGCCCCGGCAGGAGCGGGCGTCAAGAACTGTGAAGGGCCTGGGACTTCACCCTCCTTGCCCACTAGGTCACGCAACTGGAAACAGGCAGAAGCGGGGTTTTGAAATAGACCTTCTGGCTCTGGAATCCATCCTTGCCCTTGACCAAGAGGCAGTACTAACCCTTACGGAGATTGGGCTTCATTCCATGGGGATGGGGAGCCACCAACGCAGGGGAGGGGGGCCTGTTCGTACGACAGGTTTGTAAAGACATCCTGGAAGACAAACAGACCCCTTTAAACACGATTCGACTCCAGCCTCTCGACCCGTGATCCAACTGTCCCCAAGGCAGTTCCCACAATGGTGGCACCCCTGGGGGCCCAAGCCACAGCAGGCCCTCTCCCAGCCTCCCCTGGATTTTCTACCACAGTTTCTCCTTGAGATGTCACATGGGTGCTTCTGTCTTCCCGGAACACATGTGGATGCGCCAGGAGTCTCCCTGCCTCCTGCACCCTCAGGTCCTCCCGGGCCCCTTCAGAGAGGCCTCCTCCGCGCTGGGCTGCCTGGAGGGGGCTGAGGGCCACCGCTCCGAGGAGGAGTTACACATCCACGCACACACATGGCTCAGGGGTTCGCGGTGTGGAGCTCACGTTTGCTTCGCGCCCACTTCACAACTCAGGTGACCCCGAGTCCCAGAGCTCCCACCAGGAGGGTGGTCGGCTTCCTGGGGCTGGGGGTGGGGGCGGGGCTGGGGCCTGTGCCCAGGGCCCGACGCCTCCTGAGCGGTGTTCTGGCCCCGCCCCACACCCCGCCCTGGGCGGAGCCTGCACGGCAGCCCTGGGGGTCCAGAGTCCCACAGTGTGAGTCTCCCTCAGGTCAAGAACGTGGCCTTGGAAGGGAGGCAGGCCGGCGTGCGGCCCGGGCTCAGGGCCGACCTGGGTGCGGCCCTGGCCAGCGACTCCACGAGCCGCACCCCCTCTTCTCCATCCCGGGATGCAGGGCGAAAGCCCACAGCCGGCTCGGCGCCCTCCCAGCCCTGGGAGCCCACCCTGACGAGGAAATACCTCGTGGAAAGTGGGAACTGGAGCTGGACTGTGAAGGGTGGTAGGCCTTTTTTTTTTCCCCTTAAGTTTTTAATTGCCAAGTTAATTTGCAACAAAATATATATAGACGTCTTTGACAGGCTCCTCCTCCACCCCCACAGCTCATCCCACTCCCATCCCTGTTCTCCCTCCCGGCACCTGGTCCGCGGGCCCACCAGCGTTTGCCTGCAGGCGGCCTCCGCCAGGGGGGTCTTCTCTCTGCACCGCCTGTGCCCCTAGCCAGTCAGAGGAGGAGCTCTGGCTGCCCTTTGAGGTCACAGGGAGATTTTTTTTTTTTTTGGACAGGTGTAGAGGGAAGTGAACCCTGCTCCTTCAGGAGGGTGGGGGTGGGAAATGACAGGCAGGTGGCCATAATATAAATAGAGATTGGGACAAAATCTCCAGCCCCCCCCCCGCCATGCCCCCACACTGGCCTCCTTCCTTCTCCTCCCCACGCCCACCCCAGCTCGACCCCACAGTCTGCCAGGTCAGACTCCCCGAAGCCCAAATGCTACTCCCACATACACCAGCGGTGTGACCTTGGCCTGCCACCTGACCTCGGGGAGCCTCAGTTTCCTCATGTGTATCATGAGCATGCCCACAGTGAGGCTTCATGGGGACCAGAGTGTAGCTCACTCGGCTCAGAGCGTGACTCGAAGGAAAAGCTCCTGGAAAGGCAGCTGTTGGCCTTGCCAGTTCGGGAGGGGGACCACACTGGAGGGGTGGGATGGGGTCACTAAGAGGTCCCTCCGCGTGGCCTTCGAGTCGCCACCCTCTGTGACCCAGGCAGGATAAAGCTCTCAGTGCCGCCACGTGCCTCTCGCCGCATCCCGGGTGGAGCCCCCACCTCTGCGCCCGGCGCGGAACGGGTGCGGGGCTGGGCCAGGGCCGGCCCGGGGGAGCTGGCGGGGCGGGGCCGCCGCGTCTGCTCCCCCTCCCCGCCTGCCCGCAGCCTTCCGCTCCTCGCGACGCCCGGGCTCACAACGGTGGCAGCAGCGGCCGCGGCAACATCTCCAGCTCCTGCTCCCGCTCTTCCCGCTCCGGCCCGCTCCGCCCCGCGCTCCCGGGCCCCGCGCCCCGACTCCGCCGCTGCGCCTGCCGGGGGCCTCGGGAGCCCCCGCCGCCCGCCTCACGCTGAAGTTCCTGGCGGTGCTGCTGGCCGCGGGCATGCTGGCGTTCCTCGGTGCCGTCATCTGCATCATCGCCAGCGTGCCCCTGGCGGCCAGCCGGGCGCGGGCGCTGCCCGGAGGCGCCGACAACGCCTCGGCCGCCTCAGGTGCTGCCGCCGCGTCCCCGGGCCCGCAGCGCAGCCTGAGCGCACTGCACGGCGCGGGCAGCTCGGCCGGGCCCCCAGCGCTGCCCGGGGCGCCTGCGGCCAGCGCGCACCCGCTGCCGCCCGTGCCCCTCTTCAGCCGCTTCCTGTGCACGCCGCTGGCCGCCGCCTGCCCGTCGGGGGGCGAGCAGGGGGACGCGGCGCTGGGCGAGCGCGAGGAACTGCTGCTCCTGCAGAGCACGGCCGACCAGCTGCGCCAGACGGCGCTGCAGCAGGAGGCGCGCATCCGCGCGGACCAGGACACCATCCGCGAGCTCACCGGCAAGCTGGGCCGCTGCGAGAGCGGCCTGCCGCGCGGCCTCCAGGACGCCGGGCCCCGGCGCGACACCATGGCCGACGGGCCCTGGGAGTCGCCCGCGCTCATCGTGGAGCTGGAGGACGCCGTGCGTGCCCTCCGGGACCGCATCGACCGCATCGAGGTGAGCGCCACGCCCCACGCCACGCGTCGTCGGGGGCAGGCCGGGGTGGGAGGGGCCGCTCGAGGGCTTTGGGGGGTCTGGCCCCCACTGCGGCGCGGAGGGACTCTGGGGGGACCCCCGCGTGTATCTCTCTGATCCGCGGATCTCCCATCTGTGTCAAGGGGATGATGGCTCCTTCCTCGCAGGCGAGAAGGAAGAATTCCGCTGGGCGTGCGGGCCGGAGGCTGGTACGGTGCCTGAGGCGCGGGAAAGGCTCGCCCGCGATCAGTTTTCCCCAGGCACTAACGTAAGCCTCGGCTTCCGCGTCTGTACAGTGGGTATATCGGCGTCCGTTTGTAGTGAGGACTGACTAACATGTAGGTGTGTGAACACGTGTGGCACGAATTAGGATCTCAGGAAACGTCCGTGCGTCCGCTTCTTTCACGCGTCTGCACGGCCGCCCCCGCCCCCGCTCGCTTCCTGGGGTCAGGAGATGGGATGCGCTGTCCCAGCGACTCCGAGTCCCTTTTGGCTCCTGCCGACAAGCAGGGAACAGGGTGTCCCATAAGCCAAGCCGGTGTGCTCCTCACCGCCTCCCACCGCCGTGCCCCCCACACCTGGGCTGCAGCGCGGACCTGGGCACGAGCCCAGATGGCGCCCTCCCAGCCAGCACACCTGGAAGCCGGCAGCTCTGGGTGGGGACTGAGTGGAGAACGGGGTTCCACCCAGGGCTCCCCCTCCTGCTCCCACCCACCTTTCCAGACGTTCCTGGCTCGAGCTAGGAGTCAGACACAAGGGGTCTGACCCAGCGGTCCACTCTTGGCGGTCATGGGCTCCCGGGCCGGCGATTTCTCCTGTGAAGTTCCCAGACCCCCACCCACCTGTTTAGGGTCCCCAGGAGGGGAGCTGGACAGACTAGGAAGAACAGGCACCGGGGAGACACTGACCAGCCCCAGCCATTGATAATTTCCAGATTGCAGGGGAAGGTGTGAGCAACCAAATCGGATCTGTGAAAGGAAGGGGAAGAAAGGGCCCCCCCCATTTCTACCTCTCCCCAACCCCAAGTGCGGCTGGCAAAGGCAGGGAGAGGACAGAGGCTGGAACGAACAAAATGCAGGGACCCCACCCCCACCCCGGGTTCTCTCCCTCAGATCTCTGGCTCAGCAGCGCCGGCGGTGCGTGGAAGGTTGGCGGAGCCCGGGGTCCAGTGACCCTTCAGCAAGCCGGCGCTGGGGTCAGCCCCCACTGCACAGGGTGTCACCGCCCCGCCAGGGCGCAGTCACAGACCACCCTCTCCGTGTGGCTCTCCACCAAGGCCTCCAAAGCTGAGCCCCGGAGGCAGGAGGAAAACCCCGGGGTCTTGTCTGCCAGGCCAGCCCTCCCTTCCCCACTCCAGCTCTCCGGGATTTCTAGGACAAGAACTGAGAGCAGGACAAAATAACAATAAACGCTGCCCGGCGGCAGCAGAAGGGAGTCAGTCCCCTCCCCTGCGAAATGGGGACAATAGCAGCGCCTGCCTCACTGGGGTGTTGGGAGCGTGAAGCGAGTGGATCTTCATGAAGGGCCCAGAACAGTGTGCCTGGCCGAGGTGTGCTCGGTCAGTCTGGGTGATTGCTATTTTCACCACTAAGCTATAATATTACTCGTTATTTATTTATTTATGTATTTTTGTCCTCCCCTGGGGACATTTCTTCGTTGCTTTTTAGAGAGACAGGAAGGGAGAGAGGAAAGGAGAAAGAGAAACATCGATGCAAGAGAGAAGCATTGATTGGTTGTCTCCTGTACACGCCCAGACTGGGGACAGAACCTGCAACCTAAGACTGTGTGCCCTGACTGGGAATTGAACCCACGACCTTTCGGCTATGGGATGATGCTCCAACCCTCTGAGCCACACCATCCAGGGCACTCATTTTTCAAATAGCCAAAAATAAAGATGGGAGTGACCTCTCCTTTTAGGAATACATTTTATTAATGTTAAAAAAAAAAAAAAGATTTGGTTTTCAGAACACTTCCTTTTGCCTGCCCTAGCCCCCGCCCCCACACCCAGATGGCGCCTGTGGTTCTTCCCGTGTCTGGGGCTGGCAGGGCTGGGCTCGCCCTGGCCCGGTTCCTCCAGCACCTGCGCACTTGGCAAGGTGGGCTCTCCTCCGCTGAGCCCGCTGGGGTTGGGGCTATCCTGGCAGCTGGGATCTGGCACCAAGTTCGCCTCTCAGGTTGGGGGAGCTCTGGCTTCCCTGCACACGCCCCTCCTGCCTGCTGCGTGCAGTGCGCCCGGGGAGAGGAAGGCAGGGCCGCCTGCCCACCAGACCTTTCCGAGCCTGGCCACAGCCGGAACCAGTCTCTCTGGGGTCTTTGAGAGGAGCTGGGGTCTGGGTCCCCAAAGACATGGGGTCAGACTGTTGGTCTCAGTGGGACTCCATCCGCCCATCAGACAGCGTCCGGTTCTCTGTTGTCTTCTCATCCGAAGTCCTCGGAGGGGTGCTCCCCCACGTTCAGGGTCCACCTTCCCTCTGCACATCTCTCTCCCTGACACTGGTGCACCGGCGCTGATGAACTGAACGGAACGCGTCAGTCCTGATCTCGCTGACCCCCCGCCCCCCAACATCAGACCCCATTGGTCATTCCCCCCTACGGGTCTCCAAGTGCTTGGCTCCCAGATACCCTCACCCCTGGCCTCTCCCCACCCCCACCCCCGCTTTCCTGCCCCCTTTCGGGGTCCTCCTGCAGCCCTTGCCCCTCTCCTGGCCCCCCCTCACCCGCCCTGGGTGAGCTCGCCCACACCCTGAGGCTTCCAACTCCCCTTCCTCAGCGGTGCTCCAGCCCAGCCACACCTCCAGCCCAGGTTTCTCTCCTGAGCCCCAGACCAGTGGACCGGACTGCTCCCTGAGCCCCGCCCCCTCTCCCCACCCCCCAGGCGTCCCACCAGCCCCCTGCCCTCCTCGTGTCCCAGCCTGAACTCAGGCCCCTGCCTCTCCGGTGTGCTCGGAGGAGCCATGCCTGGTTCCGCCCCCTTCCACTCGGCCTCACCTCTCCGTGGGTACTTGCACGGCCTCTCACTGGTTTCTGGCCCCCAGCACACCCTCCCACCCACCCTCCTCCGGGCAGCCCCGGGGATCGTCCTTGAGGCCACCGTGGGGGCTCCCCTGTGGTGCAGCCCCCTCAGCCTGCTTCCAGGCGGCCGTTTGGGATCTGGCCCATCTCCCAGGCCCTTCTCGCCTCGGCCTCGGTACCCCCTGGCATATCCATCCTCAACACTTAAGAGTGTTCTGAGGGCCCCTCCTCCCAGAGACCCTCCCTGGCCACACTCCGTCCACTTCCTGCCCCACCCACGCTCCCACAATCCTCAGCACCTCCCTGCCCGCCCTCACCTGGCACCTCTCTGCGTCACCTCTCTCCCCGCCTGCCGGGCCCACCGCCGAAGGGGGCGAGGTCGCACTGGCCCAGCCTGTCCCTCCAGCCCTCGAGTGGGGGGCCCATGTTTGAGGGCTGAGGAAACATCGTCCCCCTCTCTATTTTTATTTGTGTTGTCATTGCCATTGCTGTCAATTGGAAAAAAAGTCCAAAGTTCTTTTGGAGTGGGAAATCACATTTAACTCCACCCCTTTATTCGTTTTGCGGCTCCCTTTCGGTCCTTTATCCAAACATAGACGCAGTCCCTGAGCCGAGACCTGGTTCACTGCTGGTGAGTAGTCTACTGACCGCTGCCGTATCCGGGGCCGCGGCACGCTCCGCCCCCTCAGCCCCGCGAGCATCTCTGGTTGATGGAGATGGAGGCTGTTTCTAATTTTTGTTCTTCTCGATGTTCATTGCAGGATCAATTTCTTGCAGATAGTGGGGCTTTTTTTTTCTCTTTAAGTCTGTTGAATTATTTCTTTAGGCCGAACTCCCAGGAGTGGTATTGCTGGGTCAGAGGATATTGACTTCTCATGGCTGTGGCCCAGAGCCACTTTCCAGAGGGGTCGGACCATTCGTGTGGCAACCGGCCATGTACATATATATTCCAGTGTCCCACTTTTGCGCTAATTTATCTGTAAAAGCAAACTTCAGGATGGATATCAGCAGTAATTCTTTGACATAAATCACCTCCTGCGCCCAGCCTAGCAAGGTGGTCGCCTCCTTCCGTCTTGGAGAGGGAGCCACAGTGAGGAGGCCCTGGTGGCGGTCACAGAAGACCCTACACTCACAGCAATTACAGCTCCCACCGAGCACTTGCCGTGCATCAGACACTGTACGTTCCCACTTAACCCTCATCAAGTAAGTCTCCGTGAGGGAGGTCCCCGTCTATCCCCTTTCCCCGGTTGAAAAAACCAAGGTTCAGAGAGGTTAAGAACCTGGCCCAGCATCACACAGCAGTGGCATCAGGATTTGACCCTGTTGGTGTCAGAGTACTTGTTTTTTGTTATTCACTCTACACCCATCTGGAAGGGCCAGACCTCGGCCACCTTCAGGAGAGTGAGAAAGACAGGGGAGGGCAGGGGCTACTGCTGGATGGTGTCCCGAGCCATTGCTGCCTCGGCACATGCAGAGCCGTGAGGGCGAGGGCCAGTTCTCAGAGGCCCGTCCCGCTGGCTGGCTGGCACGGTCATCCGGAGGGTCCCGTGGGAGCCTCACTGACAACAATAACAACACGGAGAAGTAACGTCCATGAGGCTCTTACTGCATATGTATTAGCTGAGTCAGTCTTCAGCCCTGTGCAGTGGGGTCAGGGGGTGTCCAACCTGCGGCCCATCACAAAATCGTAAATTTACTTAAAACGTTATGAGATTTGTGTTTGTGTGTAATTACACATCGCAATGTATTGAATGTGTGGCCCAAGACGACAACTCTTCTTCCGGTGGGGCCCAGAGACGCCAAAAGCTTGGCCCCCCCCGACTGGTGGGCTGCACACTCACAGAGAAGGAAGGGGGGGCTCCCAGAGTCTGTGGGAACCAGGGCAGGGGGGGCCAGGCGCTCCCCGAACACTTTTCAGCTGGAGACAGTCCCAGCGAGAGGGGAGGGCAAGCGGCATGAAGTTAAGTTCT